CTATATTACGCATATTACAATTTACGAAGCATTTTTAAATTCCCATGAGCAAACAAACGTTCACTTTACAAAGATATTTTAATTTTTTAAAACAAATTAATCACCCTGTCAAAATCCTTTGTGTTACGGCATTGAAATTCGAACAATACGTTATTTCAATGATTTTGGGTTTTTTTGAGACACCCTGTACAGTACTTGTAAAATAAAAACTTTTTAAGTGTCATTAAATAAATGCACAAATTTTGCTTTATGCACTCGCGCGTGCAGTAATTTTCACAGTTGTGCTATTTTAAATTCCCAGGCAGCTAAAATCTTTTGTCTTTAAAACAATGTCGATTTCTTGGGAAATTCCGAGGTTGCGTTCTTTTTATACACCCTGTATTGTATTGTTAGAATTTGAATGGACTGGCACTTTGCTGAACGTAATAATGCGTAACTCCGTAAGCCTTGTTTTAGACATTGAATTTCGGTCGCGTGAAATGCAACTAAGACAATAGATAATGAAGGCCGAAGCTTAATGAGGTTTATCATCTCATTACTGTCTTAGCACTGAGTGCATAAATTATACACGTCCTAATTACGCATTCAGTAATATATTTTGTTAATTGACCGGGAAAAGCAAGACAAAATTTTGTTCATTTCTCGTTCAATTTTTAACCAAATTCAACCAAATTTTAATCAGTTCTTCCTTCTTAGCCGATGGGAAATGCATTCAAAAAATTTCGTACGGATATGTTTGGTATTTCTTGAGTTATCGTGCTCACAGACAAACACACACACATACACACACACACACACACACATACAAACCCAGATGATTACATACCTCCTGGCGGAGGTAATCATTTAAAATATTGTTGGAGAGCAATTTTACCTCCCCCCCCCCCCCCACACACACCACCCATCCCCCAGTTCCACGGATTTGGCGAAAAATATGAAAAAGTCAAACTTTCAAATATCTGGAATTTTCCTGCAAATTTGAAACAGCCTTGTTAATTTTCTTGAAAGAATGATTGCTTGAGTCTTGAGCTGTAATTTGTTTATTGATATAGTATGAGTATCATGGTAACAGGCAACGTACATTTCTTTTTTTGAGAGAAATTTTTAATTTTTAACTGGTTCATGCAAATCTTTTTTAAAAAATGAAGGAGTTTAGATGCAAGTTGGGAGGGAACACTCAACTTGGAGTAATCGGGAGGGCTGGAACGGGTTTAAAACGGTTTTTTCTCATAATTGATGAAATTAATAATTTCGGTACGAAAATTCGAGCTAATACAAAACAGAGTTGTTATACCAAGTCTTACTTTGCAACTCAAATCACAAGTCATTCACTCCGAATTGCAAGTTAAGTCAAATCACAAGTAATTTTGTCTGTGACCAAGCCAGCTAGGTGACATTTTGACAAGTCAGATAATTACATGCTCGAGATATACCTATATGGAGCAAACTGAAGCTAACCCAAGATGTTGCAGGCTCAAATACCATCAAAATTAGCAAAGGTACTTTTGGCAAGTATCGAAAGCATCGGTACTTTCTGTTACTGCTAGCTAGCTTGTCGACTGAACGATGTTTTAGTTGAAAAAATTAATAGGAATATACGTAAGTCCATGAAGTTTCTAATCGTTTTGTTACCATGGCTATATAATTGTGTTTCATCGTCAGTTTCTTTTAAATTCATTCGTGTAAGACTAAAGGAATACCGAATGGTTTTCCCTGCAGTATTGCGTGATCCATGCACGAGGGATGTCGCGAGACTTTCGGAAAGCGTAAAAATACTCGAGCCGCAGGCGAGTGTATTTTTACGCTTTCCGAAAGTCGAGCAACATCCCAAGTGCATGGATCGCGCTATCCTGCTTGGAAAACCATTTGGTAATTGTTTTATGAAATAACTACAGTGAAACAATGACATTTTGAGAATCCCGCGAAAATCCCGCGAGAGCATTTTAATTCCTCGTGCAGGATAGCCTGATCCTGCACGGCTATTGACCAATCAAATTGCGTGTTTCACTGTAGTTATTATATAATACTACTTCATTAAGTCATTGTCCATTCTAGGCAAAGGATAACTATATATTATATGCAATGTATTATAAAATAATCCTTGAAATCAGTTTTTGTGATATCCGAAATATTTAAGGTCTCAATTGATGGCTATAAAAAAACTTCGATTTGCTGATAATAGATTGCACAAAATTTTAGAACATTTTAGGAGGAAGATGGAAAACATTTAAAAACCGCTCATGAGAGAGACTCCTGCAAAAGTAAGAGTATAATCTCCAGACAACTTCCTCCTGTGAAAATATGGCCCAACTCAAAACAGAATTTGTGAGCAAATTGAAAAAAGGTCGGGAAATTGCCACTCGTGCTGCTTTGGAAGTCGTTCAGGTTTTCGAAGGAAAAGTCATTGAAGGAAAATTGCAGAAATCTTTAGGCTATCAATACGCTGACACCGGTGAGCAGGAAAAAGCTGTCAAAAATTTCAAAGAGCTCTATGATATTGCGGAAGAACGAGAAAATACGGAGGACAAAGAAAGAGCTTGTAAAAATTTGGGAAGATTGTTCTTCAAAATTGGTAAATATGAACATTCTATTAAATACTTCAGCGAATACTTACAAATTGCCTCACGTAGTCGCACAGACAAAGCGTGGGCTGACAGAGTTATAGGTTTATCTTATTGCAATCTTGGTCAATACAAGGAGGCCATACCATACCTTGAACAGTGCCTGGAACTCGAAGGATTGAGAGACGATGAAGAAATGGAAGAAACAAGTGGTAATTTGGGGATTGCATATAGAGAATTGGGGGAATACGACAAAGCTACAAAGAAATTAAAGGAATGTCTTCGAATTTCAGAATTGAAGGAAGATAAGAATTTAGAACAACAAATGCATCAAGAACTTGGTTACGTTTACACAGCAATGAATCAACACGAGACGGCCGCTGAATACTTTCAGCACTCTTTGCGATTGGCCAAAGAATTAGGGGACAAGGCGAAGATTGCGACCGCGTACAGTTATTTAGCTAAAGCTTATTTACTTCAAAGCCGGCCCCAAACTGTCATAGACTACCTAAAGGAAGCTCGCACAATAGTCGACAGGGTAACAACGGCAATAACACACGCAGACTTGCTGGGTCGTGCTTACCTGATGAAAAAGGAACCACGAGAGGCCATTAAATGTTTTGATCAATACTTAAGCATGGCTAATGAAGAAAATGATACATCTGGGCAAGCGCATGGGGCTATTAATATGGGAAAGTCGTATACAGAATGTGGCGAGTACGAACTGGCCGTTGAATACTATCGCGAAGGTTTGAAGTTGGTAGAACAACTGGAAGACAAGAATAGCAAGGGTGACAAGAAGATCGAGGGCGAAGCACATGAAGGTTTGGGCGATATTTATTATAAAACATCTCAATATGGACATGCGAAAAACCATTACGAAAACGCTTTAAAGATTTCCACCGCCCAACACGATGTAGAATCCAAAGGACGGGTGGATATAAAATTGGGAGATGTGTTTCACGTTCAGAAGAGCACCAAAGAGGCTTCCCCATACTACGATGAGGCAGAACAGATAGCCAAAAGTTTAGGAGATAAAGCAATGGAGGCAGATTCTTATGAAGGGCAGGGAAACGTGTTTCACTCCACTTCCGATTACGATCGCGCTATTGAGAAACACAACAAAAGTTTGGAACTCGCGATACAGATTAAGGATATGAAACGCCAACAACGAGCATACGAGAATTTGGGTAACTCCTACTTCGCCTTGCAGAAATGGTCGGAGGCTAGCAAGAGTTACAGTAGCTCTTGTGCTATTGCCAAAGACAACAAAGATACCACAGCAGTCTATCGATGTGAAAGAATGATGGGAAATGCTTATTATGAAAACAAAGATTTCGATAATGCCATCCTTCATCATCGACGTTGTTTGGAAATTGCTATGCAAACGATCGACAAAGCAGAAAAAGCAGAATCGTACAAAGTCATGGGTCATTCCTACTCAAAGATTAACCAACCTCAGAACGCTTTAGAATTTTATGACAAATTTGTGGAAACGGTTGATATAACGATGAACAAATTAGAAGTAGCCACCGTTTATCATGAGATGGGTAAATTGTGTGCGGAATGTGGCGACAACGAAAAAGCTATTGGTTTGTATCACGAGTGCTTGGATCTGCAATGGAATCTTAGTGATTTCGAACTGAAACAAGAAACCCTCGAGAGATTGGGAGACGCTTATTACAAGAACTGCCAATATCGCGATGCGTATACATATTACTTTAAAATTGACCTGCCAAATATTATAGAACCGGATAGACGATGTCAAATATATTATAAACTTGGCAAGGCAGTATTTTTTCTAAAGGACATCGTAAAGGCAATTCAGTTTTATTATGAAGCACTGTCGCTTGCTCAAGATGTAGAAATTAAAGCAGACATTCACGAAGCTTTAGGCGATGCATTTTATTCGAATGCAGATTATGCAAATGCCATCATGTACCATTCGCAAGGTTTAGAATATGCCAACAAAATTCTCAACGGCGAAAAACGGCGACAAAGAGAGTATGGAAAGTTGGGTGATGCTTATAGTGCTACAAAGCAATGGTTACTGGCTATCGAGAATTATTGTCATTCTTGCGACATTGTGGAAAACATTGGTGACAAAACAGTAATGGGAGAATGTGAAAGAAAAATGGGCATTGCTTATTACCATGTTAAGAAATTCAACAAGGCAATCGAGATTCTGGAGAAAGCTAATGAAAAATCTCAGTTAGAGCAAATATACTACAACATCATTGGTTGCGCATATGCCAAGATTGGCCAGTATAAAAAATCTATAGAATTTTTATCAAAGGGTTTGAGAATTGCTACAGATCTACTAGGGCAAGCAAGTGCTCACGGCAATATTGGCCGGGTATACGTCAAAACTAGTGAATTCCAAGATGCTATTGAATGTCACCAAAAGGCACTTGAGCTTGTGCAGCAATCATCGGAGTACAATGCAAAAAAAGCAGAGGTTTATTGCAATCTTGGTTGTGCTTACCAGGCCAGTGGTCAGTACGTAAAAGCAATGGAAAACCAAACAAAATCCCTAGGACTCGCCGAAAATTTAAGAGACAAATCGCTACAAGGACGGGCGCTCAAGAAAATAGGCAACATTCACTTTGCTACTGGCGAACATGCAAAAGCGATCGACTCTTATTACGCTTGCCTGGATGTTGTGGAAAATACAGAAATATCAACCAGAGTGAAAGTTTTGGGTAAATTAGGTTGTATCTGGAGAAGTATGGGTCAGCATGAAATGGCGATTGGGTGTCATCAAAACCAAGCTCAAACAGCCGAAGACCTCAAGGATTTGGGTCATATGGCACGAGCCTTTGAAAACTTGGGCATTGATCACGAGCTGAACGGTGATTACGTCCAAGCTCTTGAACAGCAAGAAAAGTACTTGGAAGTTTCTAAAAAGATGGATGACGATGTTCAACAAGGACGTGCTCATATTAACATAGCAAAGGTATATCTGGCAAAAGGTGAATACGAGAGAGCTATCAGAAAGTCGGGAATGACAGAGAGACTGGGTAACAAAGGGGTGAACGCAAGAGCATACAGTGTTATCGGCTGCGCCTACACAGCACTTGGTCAATATCAAATGGCCGAAGGCTTCCACCGTAAAGAAATGGGTATTATGTGTGAATTCGACGATAAATTAGGAATTGCTCAAGCTAGTGGAAACATGGGAATGGCTCACATTGGCACAGGTGATTACGGCAAAGCTGCTGTTTGCTTTCGACAACAAATGAAATTGGCAAAAGAAATAAAAGATAAAAGAGAAGAGTGTCGAGCGAATGAAAATTTGGGAAATTATTACGCCGCGATTGGTGAATGCACCGAGGCAATTTCTTACTACAATAAATCTTTACAGCTTGCTGGAGAAAGGTACCACAACGATAAAGCTGGAATTGGCCGAGTCAAGGGATGTATGGGAAATGCCTTTACCGAAATTGGGCAGTATCGAAATGCAGTAAAATGTCACGAAGAAGAAATAAAGATCGCAAAGGACCTTGGGAACAAAGTTCGCGAAGGTGAAGCGCTTGGGAACCTGGGTAATGCCTACACGGGACTCTGTGAGTACCAAAAGGCTATTGAACTGCATGAAGAAAGTTTGAAGATTGCCGAAGATTACGTTGTCCAAGCCGACGAAAGACGAGCTAACGGAAATTTAGGAAACGCTTACGTGGCTAGTGGTCAATATCGAAAGGCACTCGATTTCCAGCGCAGAGCGTTGGAGATTTCTCAACAGCTTAGTCACAGAGCAGCCGAAGGCCGCATTCACGAAAGCATGGCAAGGGCGTATTATTTGAGTGGTCATATCGAAAAGGCTGTCGAATCCAGTCGGAAATCTTTGCGTATTGCCAGTGAAGTCGGTGACAAAGCCGGAAAGGGACGAGCTCTTGGAACTTTGGGTAATGCTTACATGGAATTCGGACAGAATAAGCAAACAGCAATTTCTAACCTTCGTGAATATTTGAGAATCTCAAAAGAGCTTTCCAACGAAGCCGACAAAGGGGATGCCTTAGGAAGCATGGCCGCTGTCTTGATCGAGATTGGCCAATACAATAAAGCATTAGAATGTTGTAATGAGTCGTTAAAGATCGCAAAAGACCTTAAAGATGAAGCCAGGGAGGGAAGAGCGTATGAAAATTTGGGTAAATTCTACACGGCCATTGGTCAATATGAAGAAGCGATTAAAACTCATGGTAAACATCTGAATATTGCTACGAAATTGGGCGACAAGGCTGAAATGGGAAGAGCTAATGGGAATCTCGGAAATGCCTACAACAAAAATGATAAACACGAAAACGCAATGAAATGTCATACAAAAGATAAAGATATTGCCGAGGAACTTGGTAACGTAGCACGAGTGGGGCGGGCTCAAGGAAACATGGGGAATACGTTCAGCAAACTTAGACAATTCGAAAAAGCGTTTGACTGCCATAAGAAACGTCTGAGCATTGCCGAGGAACTTAATGATAAAACATCGCTGGCAGAAGCTCTTCTTGGCTTGGGAGAGCATTATATAAACACTGGGCAATTTGAGAAGGCTATTCAATTTTTGTATCGCCTGCACGAGATCTCGACACATAACTACGAATTGACCGCAATTGCACAAGAACTGCTGGGCCAGTGTTACCAAAGACACGATGTTCTCAAGGCTTGCCGCTTCTTTGCCAAATCAATCATAAATTTCCAGATCCTGCGTAATCCCTTACGTGATCATGATGATTTCAATATTTCCATGTCCAACAGATTTGCACACATTCACATGTTGCTGGTTCAAAGCCTTCTCGACTTGAAAGAGGTCAGACAGCTCTTCTGGTATCTGATCGTGGCAAAGCACAAGCTCTGTATGACCTAATGCGGAAAATAGTCCATTCTGGTATGGATTTGTGTTTCAACTACTCCGATCCAATGGAAACCCTCGCTCACGATCCGTCCTCTGACACCTCAAAGATTTTATTCGATAATTCGTTGTTTAATGTCATCAATTCCAATCATGCTGATACAATTATTTCCTACGCGTTTGGAGAAAAAGGTGAATTACATTCGTGGGTGATTACCAAAGAAGGCGTCTTTCACAAGTCATTGAACATTGACAATGTACCGTCCATGAGAGATTACGTATACAGACAGATCAAATGTTTTAAATACAACATAAATGTGAGAGGTACGCAGGAGGGCACATTACAAGATGTCAAGGTGGTGTATGATTTTGAGACCAGGGCGTGCAATCTTCTCTGCTTGATGTCCGATAACTTTGACAGTGATCAGAAAGCTGATACATGCTCTCCCCTCATCAACACAACTGCCCGAAAACCTGCCCGTTCAACCGAATCATCACCACCGCAGGCAGACGACAACTTCTCCCTACAAAACCTCTACACTATATTAATCAAGCCTATCGAGGAATACCTGACTGGTTCAACATTGCTCATTGTACCTGAAGGACCGTTATTTACACTTCCATTCGCCGCATTACTCGACCCGAATGAGCACCACCTATGTGAAAAGTACAGCTTAGAATTCGCCCCATCCTTGCACGTACTAGATTCCTGTTTATCAACACTACCTCCGAAGCTCGGACCTGCTTTGTTCGTGGGAAACCCTGATCTGAGCAGCATACATATTGATCTTATATCGTTACCATACGCGGAGGAAGAAGTTGCTCATTGCAGTAAGCATTTCAGTGCACAACCATTGGTGCGGCATATGGCTACCAAGCAGAATGTTTTGAATAGAATGGGAAGTGCAAGCATCATTCACATAGCAGCACATGGGGATATGAATCGCGCAGAAATATATCTGACACCCAATCAAGGGGAACCACTTATTCCTTCATCCTATCTCCTAACGGCTGAAGATATTCTGAAGTGTTCCCTGAACGCCCAACTTGTTGTCCTGAGTTGCTGTTTTAGTGGTCGTGGTCAGATCTCCGCAGAAGGTGTGGTTGGTACCGCACGCTCATTCTTAGGGTCTGGAGCACGTGCTGTTCTCGTGACACTTTGGGGAATCAACGACGAGACAACGAAGGAATTCATGATTACGTTTTACGAGAAACTTATCCAGGAATACTCCGTATGTACTGCAGTGCAGCAAGCAATGATGGCATTGAAGGGAAGGCGATACCCATCACGTTACTGGGCGCCATTTCAAGTTTTTGGTGAAGACATCGTGCTGACCAGAGAGGATATTGAAGAAATTCGTCTAATGTCTGCTTGAAGGTAAGCAATAAATATATCCACTACTTGTTTATTTTCGCCAATACGGTCTGGCGAATAGAGCGTTTGCACAGCCACTATGTTGGTGTTCCAATTCAAAAGAATTTTAATTAGACTCTTATGTCTGGAACACCGACATGGCCGCCATGGCCTTTGTCGAGTTGGTCCCTGGAGAATGAGTGCAAACGCTCTATAGGGGCCTTTCACTTAACTGCATCACCAAAACCAATGAATGAAATTGCATCATAGTTTCGTGGGGGGAAACTTAAACGGCTTAAACGTTTACGTGCAATTACAAATATTGTAATTTAAAACCAAATGAAACCATTTCGAAAGAAAATTTCGGCCAGGCTGCTCTTAATCTTTAACAATACATATTTGCAGTCCATGAAGGGCTGTTCGTGATAGTTTAGGCAGAATTAATAATATATGCAAGGCTTTCAAAATTATTCTGAGTAGGTGGCTGTGTTCATGTAGGCGGCTGTGGAGAGAGGTCCAGGGAGTCTTAAACTAATTAACTAACTAGACATAAGTTTATATTTATTACCTAGCAACACAACTGAGCTCTGTAACCAAATTATAACGTATCACTACTTTCATTCTTCAACAAGATATCTTCAAGATTTAATATGGCAAATTAGTAAATCAGTTTTCACGTGTCGTTTTCGAAAATAACCAGGCTATAAAGTAGAGCAGTGTTGAGGAAAAATGACTTTGTTTGAAAGCTTAGAGTGGAAGGAGAGCAAAATGGATATTTCAAGTACTAAACAAAGTAACCTTCGGACAACCTCGTGGCACCCCCGGCGGCCGCTGGCTTATTTTAAAAGCGCTGTTAATATGGAGCTTATACAATAAAAATATTAGTTTAGTTTTTAACTTCTATTCCCTTCACATTTTCAGATGAAGTTGTGCGAGTTTGACAAGATCATGGATGAACCGAAATTAATTGTACCGAATTACGTAATGAATTACGAGAACAAAAGACCAAGACACACATATTTGTGATAATTTACAATATAATTCTTAGATAGGGCCTGTAATGATAGGGGGCAGTTCATAAATTATACCTGGATTACCATCGAAGACTATTTAAATTTTTATTTTCCCAACTTCAAGCTTATATCTAAAATCATTTTAATTCAACCACGAATTGTACCACGAAGTATGTCAACAGTTCTACTGTATTTCAGTCCTAAGAAATGCTATATAAATGCATTTAATTTTTCCTGGTTGTAACACATGGCTAACGACTTGGACTGCAGTAGAAAAACAGGTTCAAACGTACGATTTTACCCAACTTTGAATTTAGTAAAAGATTTAACACCTATACAAGTGCATGCATGTCTTCGGTACCAACCCTACAGGAATAATTGACGAACAGTTCCTAATAAACTCCAGGCGCTCAATATAACCTCCAGAAATATTTACAAATATTTGACTTGCATCGCATCTGTTTTGATTTCCAACAGAATTTGGGTAAACAATTCAGGCAACAGCCACCTCGCTGGAAAAAAAGAAAAATAGTATGGTTGCCGTCTCGTTTTTCAACAAGCTATATACTCCTTCTTGTAAAAACCAGATAAGAAGCGGTTTCTCGTGTAATAAAAATTCTTACCGTTTCAAGTGAGTCTGCATTAAAGTTGAGATACGTTCCTTATCAGCCTAGTAAGGTAAAAAAAACTAATTCGTAATTTTGAAAGTTTGATGTGATTCAACTATGTAAATATTTCCCATGCTGTGTTCCCAACTATATGGAATGTACTATAAGATTTTACAATTTCTGTGATTAGAAAACTAGAATTATAAATTACCTTAATCACTAACACTTACCGGATTAATAAATCCATGCTTAACTAAATCCTCCGCTAGTTCCCCAGCTTTTTCTTCTACGAATCGAGTGTAAAATCCATTATTGATGCGTTGCATGAATTAATGTAAATGAAGTAAAAACCCGCATAGCATTGGATCAACCACCGGTCTAGAATTTAGGCAATAAACCTTTCCGGAAAGTACCTAGTCTTCACTATAGAACCCCGTTTTTGGGATTGATGACCTAATTATGTAAATTTCTTTTATATTATCTAATACTAGTAGTTACTATCGCAAGGAAAGTGCTGCCTCACTCCCAAAGGATCAAAGGCAGCATCCGCAATTTGCTGAATATAATTATAAGGGGCTGTTTATATGATCCTCGCTTTGCCAGGACAAGATATGAGGCGGGACGATTTCGATGTATTGAAATAAGTCAAGGTGCACGATTCAGCAAAAAACTTCATTATTTTCTAGAGACAGATTATTAATAGTTAACTGTAAACGAAGGGTTATTCAAGCAGCAATAATACTCAAGATATTCTCTACAACATTTGAGATCTGTTAACCAGAATTTGAAGTTTCGTTTAGCCCAGTGACTTATTTCAATACATCAATATATATAACTATATGATTTCGTAAATGTATCACTTGTAACAAAACAAACAGTAAACTTTTATGTCTCAAATCATGAAAACGACGCAGAGATAGCCAAGGCTGGGTACAAGACCTACAATACTTCAGGCTACCAAATGAGGCCGGTTCTTAAAAAAACCCTTAACTGTTGTGCTTTAATTAAAGTAGAAAGCATGCATGTTCTAGGAACAATTGTTTTTGACTAGAAATAAGAACCAACTCGGACTGATTTCTCGCCAAGTAGCAATTATATAAGAATCATTTCAGCATGACATTATAATTGTGGTTCTTCTATGCGGGTTTTACATGCAATCATAAAATGTGCATGTTGAAAGCCGATTTGAGTAAAATCTGACTTCTTAAACACACCTGATTCCAGATCGCATGTTAGCAGTCTGTTCATCTGATCGTCCATTTGAAGATGAAGTATTAACTGTAAAGTAAATGAACAAGCATACGAATAAACAGTGATCAAGCATACGCTCAAGAAATGAACAAGCATACGAATAAACAGTGATCATTATTTCATGTAATTTCAAATAAATTAAATTATAATGTAGTTATTATTTCGAGTATTCAATTTTTTGTAAATCATGAAAAAAACTCAAAAGAATTAGTCTTGTTTAATGAGTTGTTAAATTAATAAACAGCATTCTGTTGATTTGCATAAACCTTTCCCTTGATAAATCACTCCCAACTCCTTCAAAACACAACTATTTAGATCCTTGCGTTTCACATAAAGTACGATAAAACATTCGCGTTTGACCAGGTCTTAAAAGGACATGAATAATCATAACCATTCCCTACCATCCGTTTTCCGGGATTTTCAGAGATTTTTGTCTTGCAGTTCATATTCAACACCTGGGAAAGAGGTTAGCAGATACTTTGTATATTCGTTCACAAAAACCGAGGCACACCCTCCCCTGTCAACAATGATTACTATGCAACTAACCAGTCTCGTCTCTATGTCGTCAGGGGGAGGATTTGAACTTTCCTCGGCCTCTCCCTCCTCTGGCGTTAAAGGTCTAGCAAAGAAAAATGAAGGTAGCATACATTGTGATGAACTTCAATTTCGACCATTCTCGACACAAAGTAATAACACAGAGAAGAGATATACAGAGAGGAAACAGACACCTCGATAACCTGAATTTTTGTGTCACGCGTTCCACGCAGGTTCCACGCGCCACGCAAAATCTTCCAGCCAGTGCCGTCGCTGAAATTTCATAGCAAAAGATAGGGAAAACGCCGTTCGAAAGGTGAAAATCGCTTTTTTTTAAAAAATGAGAAACCCATGGAAGTTTTGTTCAATAAATTATTGTAGAATAACGGTAAGTGATCACTTTTATTGATTTCTTTTTATTAAAAGTGTTAACATAACATTTTATTTTGCAAATGTTTGTTTTTTCTCTATCTACTCCTTATTAAAATCGTGAAAAGCACTGGCTGGACGGCTTTCAGATGCTCATATATATAAAAAACAAAGCAGCAAATGATATAAATTCCTCAAAATATAACTCTTGCATAAAAAAACATGAATACTTCTATAATATGTATAGTTTTTTCCTCTGCATGGTCAAAATTTGATAAAATAGTGAATTAATATCATTTTCTATAGTTAATTAATAGACTGAATATATCGGCGTGACACAATTTGCCGCGTGTTTCCTCTCTGTATATCTCTTCTCTGTGGTAATAATCTGGACTTGCAAGACGCTGTAAACAGTAAGTAAATTATATGGCATTCCAGTCTATAAGATGGCAAAAATTTCCGGCAAGATGTGAGGAAATCCTCTGCAAAGCTATGTTGTTAGGAACCTCCTGGCAGCGGTAATTCCCGAAGGTTTTGGTATATGCTTCATGTGACCCTCACTATAGTGTATCGATCCCTACTCCCACCCCTAACCTCTAACCCCGGGCAATGGACCATGTCAAGAGATTGTCAACCTCCCCTCCACAGTCTGATATGGACATCACTTATGTGGAGCAAACTTAAAGCTTTAATTATTACGGTGCAAAAACTGCTAAGGGTCAAACGAAGTATCTGCCAGAATTTTCCACTAATGTTTGCACCTTTGAATATTTGCGTGACTTTGTCTGCGTTCCATTATGGTCAGTGGATATAGACCATCTCTACAAAGGAAATAGAAGAATTATATCCACAATACTCCTGAAAGTTACCGCAATAAAGGTACAGCATGGTACAAACCAACAACATGCATTTATTTCAAATATATAGGTCTGAAGATCCTAACCGCGGGAATCAAACTCTAGATATCTGATTTGCATGGGTTGCCCGATTCAGACATTTGGAAACATATGTGTATAAGTTTCATACACCTATACTATGGTTAATACTGTAAAATTCTTATGTACCTATAACATGGGAAATTGAAAAGAAAGTCAGACAACTTACTGTACTTCTTCGAGGTATTTCTCTCTTTCCAACGATGGTAAATCTATCTCTCTGAAATATACACAACACAAATATAGAAAAGGTTTCAATGTGCAACCAAAAGAGACATTTATAACGTAAAATAAAATAAAAGCCACTCAAATTTTGCACAAACGTTTTCGCTTTAATGTTAGCTCCTCAGGTGCACATTTATATATATATAAAAATGTTTCTGGTCTGACAACTGAAGATTTAACCATTCATTTTGTTTTTGCACTAACGTTTTCACTTTATTCAAAGTTCTTCAGGTGCATATTACATATGAATGGTTTAGTGGTTATATATATATATATATATATATATATATATATATATATATATATATATATATATATATATATATATATATATATATATATATATATATATTACCGTCGTCTACAGATTCCTCCTCCCAGGGATGGAATTTCCACCAAAACTCTTTGAATATCTTTAACTTCGTTTGATTCAGGAAGAGTAACTAAAAGAAGAAATGTACCCATAATGTGATCTGGGGCAGATGATCCGACAGAGAGGGAGCAGTTGGGAAGTGACAGACACTAGGAGAAGGGGCAGTGACAGTCACTTGGAGGGAAATCCCCACCTCCCCACTAATTACTGACAGTCTTTGAATGGTAGTCGACTAATTCTGTAACAAAACTATAACTTACAAAATTTACAAAATTTAAATTTTTTTTAAAAATAATTTCTCAACCATGAAAAGCATTGACTTATTTGACTGGCTATAAATTAAGCTGTACATTCCAAGAAATACGAGGCAAAACGTTTAATGGTATGCAGTGGATCGCATGATCTAAAAA